GTAATTGGTCGAAGCAACGGAGTTAGAGATGCAGAAATGATTTAAAGATGTTATGCTGGTGAAGACTGACATCTAGTGGTCAACTTGAGTAACTACATGGAAAACTTTAAAATCCAAGCTCTTATTTTGAAGTGAAGATAGTTTCCTGTACTCCGTGCTTTCGTTTCCCGTCACAAATCAAATCCAGAATGCATCGCTTCAGTTTTCCAATAAACAGTTTTAAAATTACTTTATTCATGATTCTTTAATGAAAAATCTTCAACAAACAAAAGAAAAAGACAAAGAATCAGCCGAACTAGCAATCCTCAACAACTTTTTAATTTTTACACCAGGAGCCAAAGGTCTGTTTCAGGAAATCACATCCCCAGCAATCAGCACTTGTAGGATTAAGCTGTAAAATAATTCATACACCACTAGTTGGCAGTGTTGAGCATATTGTACATGAATTGTTGCCAGCTAGTAAGTGTCAAATTGAACTTGTGCTTTAAAATTAGCTTCCACTAGTTTTTCTATGACATAAGCGCTTTTGAAGTTGCGGACCTAAATATTTACATAAGCGCTTTAGAAATTGTGGAGCTAATTTTTGGATTAGCGTTGCCCACCACTGCATGTTAGCCGTTAGCCTCTGCAGTCTCTGGCTCCAGAAACACTGAGGGTTTGTAAAGTGAAGTTACCTGAGTCACTTCATCCATCTGTTAGTGTTGATGCTGAAGCTGTTTGAGACTTCTCATGAGCTCAGTGCTGAGCCGAGCCCCGGCCCAGTCTGTGTTGATTGTAACAGGTGAGTGTTGCTGATGCTCTCTTCTCTTGCAGGAGTGCTCTATAACCAGTTCCTGTCCCAGGTAGACTTTGAGGTGCTGCGAGACAGAGCTCAGGTTGGGTTTCTTTCTTAACAAACAACAGATTCATCCATTTGATCATCATTTCAGCCATTATTGCATCTCCCTTACAAATAATCCAAGTAAAAGCTTTGAAAGCCAATTTTAGGACAGAATCCTTCATTTTACTGAAACTTTAAACCCACATGTGCTCTGATGATGTAATCAGGTCTGTGCAGTCCTCGCTGCTGTTTCATGAGCTGCTTGTGCTGCAGGGTTTGGGCTGTCTGGTGTGGCAGGACGTGGCTCACAGAGTGATGGTGGTGACCCCAGAAGGACACAGTGAGGTGAAGAGGTTCTGGAAACGACAGAGGTCTCACACATAACAGGACCTGTTGTACGTCAACGACACCGCCTTCTGGACTCTGAACGTTGTAAAAAGCTTCAAATAACTGTATTTGTGTTTTATAAACCCTGACTTCTGTGCATTTTGGATTAAACAAATTGTTCCTGCTCATGTTGGTTTCTAGTAATTTTGTGTAAACAGTGAAAAGACAGTAAGTCTTTGATGGTTTTGATCACTAATAGTGGAAAAAAACTGCTTTGGAACTGGACACAGTTACATCTGCAGATGTTCTTTTTTGAAACAATCTTTTTTTATATATTTTTTTAAGTATAAAACCCATTTTTAAACAAATATTGAATCTTTTATTGTTTTCAGATTACACAGATCCAGTCATTAAAAACAGCACAAACTGAAGAGTTTTCTAGGGAAACATGTCAAACAGAAAATATTCTTTTGTTAACAGAAGCTACTTTGTTTTCAGCTGTTTTTTTGTCCTGTAAACTGACATTTCAAATAGTGTACCATATTTATTCATTTATAATACAATCTTGAGTATAATACAATCATTTAAGCATTTATGGATGATTTTTAGGGTTAAATTTCTGGTATTATACATGAATAAAACCAGTAAGTGCACAAGGATTTTTTTTTTTTAATAATTACTGAAGAAGCTGCAACTAAACCATTAAAGCTAAAACAAGCAAAACACTAAACGCTGAATTGATAAAAGGTTTGCTAAAAATGCATAGAGCTAACTAAAAAACAGCTAATACAGATAAAAGGTGCAAAATGGTAAATGAAGGCTAAAAGTTTGGTTATTGTTTTACTCTTCAAACATGAGCTTGTGTTTTTATCAGGTAAATGTTTAGTTCTTATATTTTACAGTAGAAAGGTTAGTTAACTAAATCACTCCGTGGTCCAAAAAAAAAAAAAAAAAAAAAGCTAACGGCTCAGGGTCTGGACATCCAGCAATTTAAACAAAAAACAAAATTTGTTTGTTTAAAATATAATTTGAATAATTAGACTTTGAAGACTGATTTATTTTTCTGACTATATTAAATAAAGCCTGTGTCCAAACACCCAAAAACATAATGCTTCCACCTCCATGCTTGACAGTGAGGACGGTGTTCTCAGCATTTCTCTTCCTCCAAACATGGCGAGTTGAGTTAATGTTTGTCTCCTCTGACTACTGCAGTGTTTTTCAGCCCTGGTCCTCAAGGCACACTGCCCTGCATGTTCACAGTAAAAACATGAAGTGTTACATTTGTAGTGTTAAACTTTTCAAAGTTAATTTCAGCTCACCAAGTGTTATTTTAACACTTTCTGAGTAAACTGACTTCCAGTGTTGGTGTTAATTCAGTGTTGATTTCCTCAGTGTTGTCTCAACTCTGGACAGTGTTAAATAAGCTCCGCCCACTGTCAAGTCTTGATTAACACTTAACAGTGTTGTTATATAACCAGGGGCGCCGGCAGGGGGGGCCATGGCCCCCCTGAGAATAAGCTGGCCCCCCTCAGTTTTATCCTGTTGAGTACCCAGGTTTTTCCTTTTTCACTTCCCCTACCTATTTAGGAATAGAACCTCATAAATATAAAAACAAACACTTGTTTTTAACAATTAAGAGTTAAAAACAATTTATAT